TCTTCCAACATTTCGGGTGTGGATAAACCACCCTAAAACTTCAGTTCCATACTGCTAGCAAATGCAACTTAGAGCATTTTCATGGTCTCTCAATGACACAAGCTGAGTTCCAGGGCTTTACGTCAAATGATATTTCACAGAAGGTAAGCTAACACCTGATTTGAGGATTTCTATTCACATTGCCCATATGCATTAACTACATTAAAGTATCCCAAATATGATTTTCTTATCAAGCGCTTTAGTGGTAAAAGGTCAAGTGGTCAATCCCAACACAGGGACACAAGACTTTTTTTTTTTTTGTGCCGTTCAGATGACCGGTCTCGTTCTTTGCCAGTGCAGCAGCGTGATTTTCTCTCACAAGCACATGCTCTCCGTTATGAGATACCCGGCAATTTCGAATGAAGGACAAGAAAATTCTTCAGGAAAATTTACTTAAGACCACTCTTGCGCATTCAGAGCCTGGACTCTGTGTGCCCACAAAACAGAACTGATTGCACAAGAGCCGAAGTTAGGCCCTTTAATAACCCTTGACAATGCAAATAATTCTCTGTCACAAGCATCTGCAGTTGTTGCAAAAGCGATTATGTGCCTGCTTGTCTTAATACCGTCATGTGTGTCTGTTATGTTGTCTGTCTCTGATGCATCATGTTGCCTGCCATGGTTTATCCTCATTACCCTGAGGTACGGATGTTTGGAAAAGACGCTAAACACACCATCCTTTGTTTGAGCAAGAGCCTCCATCCATGAAAGGGTTAGAAATAACTGTTTGAATCGTACAAACCTTTAGCAAATATTGTTTTCTATCACAAGCTTCAAACGAGGAAAGATAGAGTTTCACTTAAGCAAAACAATCCTAATTGGGGAAAAAATTAAATCATTTGGAGGTTTCTGTCCCCCTTTTTAGAAAATAAAATAGCAAGAACCTTGTGCTTCAGAACAGAAAAGAATCAGTGACCTAATTAAAGGAGGACGGATAGGCCCTCCAAGCAGAATTCTCGTTTGAGCCTATTGCACATGGTATTGTTTCAGGAACATCAAAGCATCAGTAATCCATGGGTGTCTTACTGTACGTGACCCAACATTGTCTCAGACAACACTGCATTCATAACGCGATGTCTCACCAACATCATGGCTCTTCAGAGGCTTCCTGAACCTGTCGCCATGTTTTTTCTTTTTTCTTTTTTTAATAAAGGTCACCTGTAGCTGGTGCACATTTGGACTGAAAGAAAAATAGGAAGCTTGATCACACAACTCTTTGAAAAATAATTCATAAGTCAGAAATATGTGACGAATAGGTGCTGTCTTTAGTATCTGGGTTTTTCATATTTTCAAACCAAATCCTCCTTTCTATTTCCAAGGTCCACTTCAGCGCACAAAAGAATGCAGTGATGACTAATTATTTATATTCACCTCAATAATAGAGGGAAAAAAAAGATTCTTTGAGACATAGCCCTGATTTTTTTTTTTTTACCATAACAGATGTGGCCAAAATGGCAGCGAGGCAAAGCTATAATTTCTCCAGCAAAGACAATAGAGTTTACTGCCTACACAAAACATTCCCCACCTGCTCAATGGATTCCTTGGAGACACCTTTCTTAGCCGCCGCACTGAGCCAACAGATTGTCAACCAGTCCAAACTACGTGGCGCTGAATACTGAGATCCACACAAAGAGTTTGCACAGAGCGTTTGTTGCTGAGAGCCATTTGGATGTGGAGGGTACAGTGATTCGAACAAGCCGGCCTAAAGCCACCCAGGCAGACGCTGACAGCTGGGTGGCAATTGGAGTGGGCTTCAATTTGCCAGAATTCTGCAATTATTTTTGAGGCAGACCGCTGTTTGGATATAATCAATTTGGCTTTGGCTATAGGCTGACAAAAAAAAA